ACATCATTAGTTCACCTTAAACCAAGCTTAATTTAGGGCTAAGTTTAATTATAGTATGCTAGAACTTTTCCTAAGGCTTTCTAGTTAACAATTTTTTTCGTGGGATCGATAATCGAAACTCCATGAGAGTTCTATATTACTTGAACGATACGTGCATTTGCGTAAACAAAAACCTAGTCTATATTACTTGAACGATACATGCATTTGCGTAAACAAAAACCTAAGTAAACTATAAATCAATTTCTAAACTCTATAACATATCCATTTTACATACTGGTCGCCTAAAGAAACAGGGTTAAGTTTTTAGCCACGAAACTAAATAACTTTGAAACTGCAGGTCGGGTCAAGTTTTTGGTGTCATTTCCGGTGAAGGAATAATTGATTTGACTTAAGTATGCTTGGATCACTTATATTTTTTATTTTATTCTATTTATTTTATTTTCTTTGTTTTTATTTGATTTTAAAAAATACATATTTAGCTATTTGAATGAAGTATAAATATTTTCAAAAAGTCTCAATTCATTTAAAAGTTGTTTGGAGGGTTTTTAAAAGCAAGTTAATTTATTTTAGAAACAAAAAACTTAAAATATATTTAGAAAAATAAAAAACAAATTTGACCCCAAACAAACTAAAAAAAACACATGTCCAGGAATAGTATTACATAAATGCATGAACGTTCTCGCCACATGTCTGCTACTTACAAAAAGCTATGGCTATGAATTATATTAAGAGAAGATCCTAGTCAGTTAAAATTCACTTTTAAATTTCATTCCATAAATCTATCCATTCAATTAAAACATAAAAAGAAAAACCGTCAGCTTATGAAAATGTTGACCAAGATTCCAAATAACATGCAAAATATTGACCATCCAATTTTAAGATGCTTCACATGGTTCAATAACTAATAAAAAAAAGCACAATTATTAAGAATGTATTGTACCATATCAAACAATAAATATACTTCTATTAACTACACTTCATATTTTATGTTGGCTGAAATAAAACAAGGAAAATTGAATTATTAGAGGTCCAATCATACATTTTTAAAGTGATTTTTCAACATGATAATAAAATTGAAATATGTGTCAAAACGATCCTCTTAACATTTTATAAGGGGCTATTTTAGTCTCAGAATCTATAAAAATATCGATTTACTCACCATACTTTCTTAATATAGAATTAAATTGATACCGAAACTAACCCAAACAACCATAGGAAAATCCAATATTATTGCCGCATTCAAAACAGGGAAATACAATCACATAAAAGAAAATAGAAACAACAACAGATACGACACAAATACAACTAAAGTTGTATCCCAAAGCAGTGGTGATCGGCTATGCAGAAAGGAGGGGGGTTAAATGGTTGTGTTTGTATGACGAGATAGTAGGAGTTGGCTGCGGTGGGATGGCAACAGGATGGGAGAAGGCCACAATAGGGAGACTAGAAGGTTGATGGTTGCAGAAAACAACAAAAGAGGGGTTGATAGTTGCAGAAAACAACAAAAGAGGGGTTGATAGTTGCGGAAAACAACAAAAGAGGGGCTATAACATGATGTCAAAAAAGAGGTCAAAAAAGAGGAAGTGTTGGAACATCTTCTATGAAGATGGGAGGCCCAGACAATGATGGCAGAGAAGAGGAGGGGAAGGCGATTGCGGTTGCAGAAGAACAATCAGGAACTACTATTTGGGGTGGCTGCAACAAAGATGAGTGACGAGTATAGCAAAGCGTAGAGGAAAAATAATCACCACCTAGGGATCGCATATGGCTCGAGCGCCACTCGACTCTTTCATACAACCTTAGAAGGGAAAACCCGAGACACCGGCAATTGTCCCAAATAAAACTCACAAAAAAACTGAGAATATAACTCTAATACAACACATATATAGAAAAGGCTAAAAAATAAAGGATAAAAAGAAACATGCCAGAAATTGGAAAGAATATAAAAGGAATGTTGTTCAGTTCAGTTTTACTCCGATCAGAGAAATTAGTTTCCGGACTTGCGCGTACACAAAATTTCGCAATCGCTCCCGCTCCCGCGTCACTAATGCTCCTACATCAGTCACTCGGGACTGGAAGAGCTTTGACCTCATCTGTCAAAGCTTTTGTCTTCTCATAGTCTAGCGTCAGGTTGACCATGTTGAATATGGTGAAGATACTGTAATTACCTGACAAGTCAATCTTGCAAGCGTGGTCATTTCAAAGTACATCATAATAGAATAAGTATTAATAATCTTTTGGCACAACCTGAGCTACATATAGTCGTATATTTTTGCAAAGTAACTCACGAACCATTAAATCAGTAATTTGCCCTTCCACCCTCGTACTAGGCCGAGCGCATCCAATAAACAAATTCATCTGAAAGAACTAATTCTTAAATGAAATTTGTGGCATGCTGGACAACTCTTAATAGCAACCACTCAGGAGAAGGGCATAATTTTTCTCTAAAAGACATAGATCCCATCGTAGGATGTTTATTCCCACAAATCTCCTAAGGCGATCTCCAATGTTGTGGTTCATCCCCTTTGTCTGACCATCTGTCAATGGGTACACTACTAAACAAAATTTAATACACAAATGATTCCAAATGGTCTTCCAGAAGTAGCTCAAAAGCTTATTATCTATGACATCATTGGTCTCTTATAGTAGGGGCAACTAAAGAGGTAGGCAATATATCTATAAATTTTAGAAATTCTCTTATTTAGGGTTGTCATGTGTCTGGTATCCGTTTCTCGAACTCATGGCCCTCTTGGACAACCAATGTTGCTCTTATGGGAGTCCCTCTCATGGGCTCATCTCGAATGACATGCATATCTCCCTCATCTCCTCCAATGAGTCCTCATTTTCTTTAGTATCTATTGTATCCTCATCCATTTCTTCAACTGCTCATTGCTCAGTGAAATAGATCATACTCTTGTTTGGGCAATCAGATGTATTGTGCCAAAAATCATTATATTTGACGCACTTTCTAGCTGGGATGGATTTGGGAATGTTGGTTGGCTCCACTTGTTCTCCACTTTGAATTACTTTCTCCTTAGACGGGTTTAGCTTGAGTACTCGATTACATGTACTCTTGGTGCTTGATCCTAGAATTGAATTTTGTTTGTAAGATATGGCGATCACCCAGTGATGTTGCTTCAAGAGCATCTCCAATCTGTAATGAACTAGTAGGTACTTGCACTATATCTCTCGTTTCATTTTGGATCAGGTAGTGATTTTATTTTTCTCCTCGCTATCGAAGAGGCTTTAGATTCTTCTACCATAAAATGCATTATTATTTAGCTTGGTGATGACTAGCTTTACCATTATGTCCGGTGGGACGTCTTGGCACTCAAAAACACATTTCATTGTCTGGAGCCACTCGATGAATTCTTCTGGATCCCTACGACCATCAAAATCAAGTAAATCAACCTATACTTGAAGATCATGGTTTCTCTGAAATTTCATGCCAAATTTTCGGGGTAGTGGTCCTTCGTCCCTGGAATCTGCCTGGTGGAATAGATTCACTTCATTCCTTCAATCTTGCGAGTCGCTGTTGTGACTATGGGTGACCCAGTCAGATTGTCTCATCTTGAAGATCACAAGCCTCTATTGCATTAAGAGGATTTTCCCATTACATATTTTCCATAGAATGCTTCTGGACATCACTTTTTAAATTTCTCATAAACGACATTATTTCATTTCCTCCCGATCAGGTTTGCGACATTATTGCTTTTCATAACTATTTTTTTCGGTCTAAAAGGTGAAATAAGGTGTATGGAGTTGATTTTGGATTGGGAAAGAAAAATTTTGGTGGATAATTTTAAAATTCAACAAGGGGTGGGATTTTTGGATGGATATTGGGTTAGGTATGGACGGATTCTAATAATTATGTGATACGATTAGGGTTAGGCAAGCTCTTATACCGAAGATAACCCAAATAATGATAAGAAAACCAAATAATATTGTTGAATTCAAAATAGGAAAATAAAAATACAAATGGAAATAGAAATGGCAACGAACATGACAAAAACACAACAAGGATTGTATCTCAAAAGGATGGTGATCGGCCATGCGGGATGTAGGGGTGTTAGATGGTTGTGTTTGGATAGCGGGATGGTGGAAGTTAGTTGCGGTGGGATGGAAACAGGATGGGTGGAAGGCAACGACAAATAATCTTGAAGGTTGATGGATGCTGGAAACAACAAAGGGGTTGGAACAGCGATGGCAGCAAGAAGCAAGGGTTAGAATAATAGCGGCTACAAAGATGGAGGTTTGGAACAACGATGAAAACAAAGAGAAGGGAGGGGAAGGCGATGATGATGGCTGAAACTGTAGAAAAGCAATAAGGAACGATAATTTGAGGCAACTATAGCAATGGCAGATGACAAAGAGCGACGTGGGAAGAAAACAGAGGGATGGAGGAAGTATAATCACCATCTTAGGAGTGAGAAACACCCGAACCACTCGACCTTTGGATATAGCCCTAGAAAGGAAAACCTGAGATGTTGGTAGCTGTGCTGAACAAAACTCATGATAAAATTGAGAATCCAACCCTACTACAATACATATATAGGAAATGACTAGAAAGGAATGAATAATAACATAAAATGGGCTGGAAATTGGAAGAATATAGAAGGAACGCCGTTCAGATCAGTTTTGTTCTGCTCCAATCGCAGGAAACGACCGCTTGACCTGCGCAGACATGGGATCTCTCCCGCTCCTACATCATTCATGCTCCCGTGTCAGAAATAGTCTCCTTAGTCCATAATATTTAAAAAGAGGACTATTTCAAACCCTATTTAAAAAAATTTCGGGACAAATTTAATATTATATACTTTGTGATTATAATATCCCCATATAATAGTTATAGAATTATTTCACACTTTACTCATAATATTATAATTATTTTGATTATTCATTTGAATGACATAATTTCTATTAAACCATCCAAGTTACGTGTATTTGGTGCAAGTGCACTATATATATATATATATAGAGAGAGAGAGAGAGAGAGCTACCTCCATATGGAGCTTTCTTAAGATAAAAGGCTTCGGAAATAACATCCAAGGAACCGCAACAATAGCCATAAGCAATAGCAAGATCTGAACAATGAATGCATCACATAAGATGGAGACAAAAAAACTAGATCATGTCAATGTACACAACCGGGAGAGAAATCCAAAGATTACAACCTGCAAAATTTTCTGACCCCAAAACAACTGATTATCACCAAGATTTTCAGTGGGGCTCAAGAACATATAAATCATCACATGATAAAGATCAGCTTTCGATCCTGTACACCACTTGACAACAATGAGGAGCGCCAAATAACCAAAGAGACAGTTGAGAAAGATCATCTGTGGCACAAACTGGTACCTAACAAAAGAAACAGGCTCTGCAACATGCTTTATCTTTCTATAGATAGAAGGAGCATTTACATACATAGCACACAATTCTTATGTATTTACATATCTCACACCTAAACTTTTATATTTACATACATACCACTCAAATCTTTAACAACACATTAAAATAGCATTATTAACACTTTTTAAAAGTGAAATACACCCTTTCATGCATAGGTTTAGAGCACCAAAGTGTTGTGTATATAAATATGAAAGTTTAGGTATGAGATATGTAAATATATAAGAATTCTGTGCTACATATGTAAATTACCCTAGATTAAAAGTGTGAAAAAACAAATTTAAAGTAATGGCAAAATCACACCTTATATCCACGGAGTTCCCGTGAAACTTAGCATCGAAGTAACTTAAGATAATCCCCAAATTCATCTGAGTAACGCCGAACAAAATAGACATCTTCATTTTTAGAGAATTTAGAAATGGAAGCTCGGAGCGACTGCCACGCCAACTTGGGTCGACCCCAAACTTGTATGGTTGTCGATATTTTATAAGACCAGCAGTGTGTGCATCACTGATAAAGCACATAATATCAGCTCAAGGCAAAAAAATTGATTTCAATATTTAAACCTAAATATTGATTATTATGGAAATCAACTCGTATTAGGTTTATGAGTGAATGTCTCTTCTTTTAAGTTCTAAATAAAATCAAGTTACTCACAAAGAGAATTAATATGAATTTTGGGAAGGAGAATAAATGAAAATGAAATTTAAAAATGA